CAGTTGAGTGATTTTCAGATCATGCAGCTTCGGGCAAACCGTGTTGTTTTCTGCGGACGCTTGAGCGTCACAGGAGGGCTGAGTTTTACACGGCGCCAGCCTATTCTCCACAGTAAAACAGCCTGGTGTCGCCCCAAATGCAGCCTCCTGGAACGCCCCTGCGTCTGCAGCGTGCAAAACTGTATATGCTGGTGCTGGCAGCTAGGTGCAAGCGTAGAAGGCGCCATATGATTTCTGAGGGGCAAAGCAAAGGCTAAGCCGCGACCACTCTTATCGTCTGCACTCTTGTATGCCTAACAATGGGGCTTTCCTGAGAGAATGGACAGAGCAGTCATGTGTCCTTGTGAACTACGAATGCACCGGTGGCTGTAACTATAGAGAAGAAAAGCAATATTCGAACAAAAAAATAAACGTAAATTACAAGATCAACACCAGAAATGCTTTTCTTGGAAATTTACTTAGCGATGTCATGCTTAGTGATGTACACTTGTATTCCTTGCACTTTCCTGCTCTTCACCTCGCTTCCAATACATGCGAGATCCACTCCTTTTGTATCCGGCAAGAACGCTAATGAGATCCCAAGAGCTACTAATCCCACACATACAACGACTGCGTAAGGTGCTGGTTGGTAGATAGTAGACAAGTATGCCATCTGAAGAAGTAGAGTTGTTCATGGGTAATGGCAACCGGAATCACGCTTTGGAGCACCGACGCAACGCGTTTACATCCCTGTTCGCTGCGGACGCGTTTCAGGAGCTGGGATTGGTGCAGCGCCCACCGCTTCTCCATCACGAAAGCTGGCAGACGCCACAATTGATGAAGAATATGCAGCCCTGCTCCGCACCGAACCGAGCCCCCCCCCTCCCCCCCCTCTGCAGAGAGACAAGTCTATATTACTGGACATTCTTGGCTACTCCCTGCTTCTACTTAAAGACACAGCTCGCCGGAGTAAAAGTGTCTTTGGATAGTTGCTTTCATTATGAAACAGGTAGCTGATACAGTAAGGCCTATGCGTTTCATACTTGCGGCAGCGTAGCGTAGCGCCTTCGGCAGCGTACGCTCAGCGGCCAGTGCCCAAGAGAGGTATGCATTATCGATCTAGCTACCCCCGCCCCTCACAGACGCAGCGTCCACAGCGGCAGGACGTCTGGCAGTAGCGAAGGGCACGGGAAGCATAGCTATCGATCTAGCTTCACCAGCGTTTCTCCAGCGTTTTCCCAGCGCTTCCAGCGACGGGGCTAGAGAGGGGCTAGAGAGCACTGGACGGAGGAGAGGAACTATAAAGTACTAGGTAGCGTAACTGCGCAGCGTGGCCGCTCGGTGACTCTGGTTAATCTGAGATGCGATATGCATCCTTCTTCGGCACTGCCGGCTGGGACGCTGGAAAGCGCCTACGCTAGCATGACTGCGCGGCAAAGTATAACGCAGCCTAATTCCCGCGAGGAACAGAAAACAAGGCAAGGAAGAGTCCTCCAGAAACAACATAAAGCAAAATCGCTCGATCCTCATAGTCACACCGTCCCTGCGGTGCATCTAGTGTAACCTGCTAGCTCACCAAACCTCTACCGCATTCTCGGCGAATGTTGATATCATCCATGCAAAAAGAAGAAGTACAAAAAACAAAACACCTAACGTCAGAGGAAAAGCATCTTGGAAGGGAAAGCGAAATTTTTGAAAAGTGCGGTGGTCCGAATTTTGGGTTATCGGTAGCGCACATTTTACGTGCACTGAGAAGTGCGTCGGAACTTTTGACTACCGATAAATTGGGCGTCAATCACTCGTGATTTTTTACGCCGTTTCACCTCAACGCGGAATTGGGTTTGAAGTTAGATGTATAAATGCCCCCATTGAGTAAACTGTATCAAAGGAGAGCAGAATTATCCATGGGCACGAGTGCGGTCAGCCAGAAAGGAGATGCAATTCCGATTAATGCCCGCCGCCGCAACTAAGAACAACTGAGTGGCCTCGTCGGAGGGCATCTAGCAAGTAAGGCGGTCCAACTGAGCAGCGTTAGAACTAGAACTTTGAGCGGCTGTAGCTCGCTCCCGCTCACTGTGGAGTCGAATAGAGTGGGACAGTCTCTAGCTTGGGGGCTGTACTACTTGCACAAGGAAGGACGACCATGTACTACTCGAGCGCGGGGGCTGTCTTTAAAGCAGAGTCCGCGATTATTCGCCATCTCAGATAGTGGATTAGGGGGTTCCATATAGACGACAAGGGGTTGAGTAACTCGACAGTGAAGAAAAAAAAGCACAAAAAAACATGCCACCTGCTCTAGATAGAACCCCCATCCAGTCCCAGTTTTACGTGCTCAGTAACTCTAGCTCCACCACTATTCCCTCACCAGCATGGCTGATTCACCGATAATAACTCTACGATCGTACAAGTGACGATTTTCATGCTTTTTTTCGTCCTGCAATCTCGTTTTTCACTGAAAGCCGGGCATTGGAGGCGGAGTCTGGAGGCGGAGTCACTGGAAAAAAGGAGGAACCACTGAACCTATATTGCGCTATAGCCCCTCCCATAGAATTTTTTGCCGCGAAACCGGTACAAGGTTGTTCGTCGCGGACCACTCTAACCTCCTGACGCCATATTTTCAACTTCGATACCTGATCGCGGACCGTGCCTTTAAAGGATGAGTTATCATCTATAGTACGGCTACAATATACCTGAGGTGCTATGAGTGCTCCTAGTCGTGCTGACAAGGAGCACGTTCCCATTCCAATTGATCGTATAGGTGTAGGGAAGCATTCCACTGCCACCAAATAGCACGCATCAAATGTGATTTCAATGAATGAAACTCCCAATATGTTGACAATAATGACTGAAAATAAGAGTAGCTCACGTTAGAATCACATTTCACGTTGGGATTCTGCAGAAGAAATGAGCCAGGATTCCCCCGGTTCCATTGGTTAATGGAGTTGAGGAAACATGTTGGGTAAGAACTTATGATAATAACATTAGAGGGTAATGCTTGAGTGGTGGCCAGTTCGATTATTTTGGGGTGCGCCGCTCTCTACTTCTTTTCAGATTCGTGATTGGTCCAGTCAGGAAACTATCCAATATTTGGACTGCGTGGTTGGCGTGACGTCTTTATTTATTTTTATTTATTTATTTGACATGACTATAATAGTGGGCTCTAAAAACCGGAGCAAAACTACAGACTAAAAACCGGAGCAAAACTACAGATTACTCATTATCCAGTTAAGAAACAGATCTGAAAGTGCGGTCTAATGAGAGGGAACTGAAATTTGAGTAATACTATGGTAGGTGCCTGAATCGCCACTACACGAGCTCTGCTCCTTTTAAGCTTTGGAGATAGCAACATATTGAATTCATCAATTGACGAAAAGTATAAACTAACTCATCCAGTCCTTCCAGCTGTTTCCATCACAGTTCTCTTCGGGTACAAACATTTGTAAGCACATTATTATGGAATAGCAAATGATCATAAGCACCTAAAAAATAATTCCCTGTTGAACAGATTTCTTGGGATTGAAGAATATTTTTAGGTCG